AAGGGAAACTGGGGCAATGAGACTGGTAGTTGGAGGCCAGATGGAATACAGTGTGGGCTCTTCCTCTTTGATTTAAATCTGACTCTGCTCAGAAGGAGGATGGGGAGTAGGGAGAGATTGAAAACAAAACAAAAGCTAACTTAAAACCAACACTACCATATGTCATCAACCTGGAGTAAGACCAGGGAAATTTTAGCTGAAAATATCTTGACTCTAGGAGAAATTGTTATGAATTACTTTGAAAGGCATAACACTTTATAGACTATGTTTGCAGAAATGCAGAAATATATGGTGCTTTTTGACTTATATCTGAATGTTAAATTGTTTTGAAGGAGACACCCATAATAGCTGACACAGAAATATTTCCAGAAACAAATACACAGCCACTACAGTTTATTAGTTTGCTCTCAAGGCACACACAGTCTCTCAGCAGTTTGCAAAATGGAAGCAGTAGGAGGCAAATAAAGTGAGAAAAACACAGAGACAAAAAACAATTCAAAATGAGATGAGTTTTATATAAAATGTAACTAGTAGGGACTTAACTTGGGAAGGCTACAAAGAGCAAAGAGACACCAAGTTTCCATTGATCCTGACTTTTATATTAAAAACTTTAATATTCACTAATAATTAGTAACATCATGTGTACTATTTATAACTCTACTTTTTCTTAGTTTTCTCATCCCCCACACCTATTGCTAAGAAACATGAAATCTGTTGTTTTCTTAATGGGCACCATTAGTCACCAAAAATAAAAACTGGAAAGAATGGCCTTCTCTCAAGGAAAATATACATTGTGCCGGCACTGGAGATTACCAGTCTATAGCTACGGATTCAGTCTGTATCTGGTAGACCGGAAGCACTGGCATCACCTGAAAGCCTGTTAAGAATCTTGGGTCCCACCTGACACTGAATCAGCATTTTTAACAAGATCCCCAGATGATATGTCTGCATGTTAAAATTTGAGAAGTTCTACAAGTTTCAGGTTCATTTGATCTCAGGTGCGGCCCTGCGATCAGTATTTTTTTTTTTTTTTAATTTTGGTACCAGGGATTGAACCCAGGGTTGCATAACCACTGAGCCACATTTTCCCATCCCTTTAAAAAATATTTTGTTTAGATACAGAGTCTCACTGAGTTGCTTAGGGGCTTGCTAATTTGCTGAGGCTGGCTTTGAACCTTCAATCCTCCTGCCTTAGCCTTCTGAGCCACTAGGATTACAGGCATTTGCTACCATGCCTGGCCAAGGATCAGTATTTTATGAAAAATCTCCAGGCAATTCTCATGTGCAGTAGAGTGAAGAACTGAAAAACTGGTCTAACCTCATTTTTCAAATGAGGAAACTGTGGCCCATAAAAGCTTATGAATCTACCTGCAAGTTCCCAGCTATTTAGTATCAGAATCCCAATAATGGTACCTCTCCTCCTTAAAAATAAAATAAAGCATTTCCTGTAGTTTAGATAAATGTACCCCAAAGGGTGCCAGCTTATGGTACTGTTGGGAGATGGTAGAACCTTTAGAAAGTGGGGCCTTGTGGACAGAAGTTAGATAATTGGGGACATGACCTTCAAGGAAATATTGGGTCCCTTCCTTCTCTTTCTTTGCTTCTAAGCTGCCATGAAGTTGGCAACCTTCCTCTGCCATGTGCTCTTACCATGAAGTATTGTGCCATCACAGGCCCAAAGCAACAGAACCAAGTTATCATGGACTAAAATCTCTGAAATCATGAGACAAAATAAAACTTTTCCCCCTTAAAAGTTGATTACCTCAGGTATTTTGTTACATTAATGGAAAGCTAACAAAATAGGATGGAGGGTACAGAAGGTAGGGAATGTGGTTATGGGGATTGTTATTTTATACAGGGCGGGTAGGAAAGGCTTCCTTAAGGAAGCAGATACCTAAGGAAAGAGGAAGCCAGTAACATGGATAGCTGGGAAACTATTCTAGGCAGATGAAGTAATAAGCTGGTATGTGTGTATATGTTTATTTCCAAGGTCCTGACAGATATTAATCTCTGAAATGTAGAAAAAGTATCCTCTTCCTCTTCTCCTTCTCTGCCTCCTCCTTCTTCTTTTTCCATTTCTTCTCTTGCTTCTTCTTTGGGATTGAACTCAGGGTCTTGCACATGCTAAGCATAGGTTTCACCACTGAGCTACGCCTCCAGCCCTGTCAGTTATTATTAAAATATTTCCAACTTTCTTCATATTCTTTGCTCATATGACTCTTTGAAGCATTAGTTTTAAAAATAAGAGCTTCTAAATTTGTAAGTGTTTATAAGAATTGTTACCTGTAGTAAATATTCAATTGTTGGAAAACATAGGGAACATCATGGGATAAATATTTGAACAATATAACTGTTAACTAAAGAATGTTGATATAGAGGTGAAAGGAAATAGCATTTTTGGAGGAAACAACTGAAGTTTGGGTACACTGAATCAGGATAGCCCTGTTCCCAATGGTAAGCACAAGAGAAGTATTTCGTAGGGGATTTTCACAAAGAGTAGTTTTCAGAGACAGTTCATTGACTGGCAGAAATCCTAAATTGCAAACCCATTGTGATTGGCAAGTTAACTAGGGTACTCCGAGCTGAGAGATGTTGAAGGCCAGTGAATACTGCCTTAGTTGTTATTCCGTATGTTGGAACATTCTGTGCTTTGACCTTTAGCTGATGTGAGTATAATACTCCCCCAATCTCCAGATTCCCCTTTAGAAAGTCTTAGCTTTAGTTGCCTCACTTTTCTTTCTTTATTTTTTTGTGGAGTAGGGTACTGGAAGTTGAACGTAGGGCCTCATGCATACTGGGCAAGAGATGAACCACTAAGCTATTTTCCCTCCTTCATTTTCTTTCACATGCAAATCTACCAGTGAGATTTGTACCACACTAGAATCAGTACCAGTACCACACTAGTTAGAATCATGGATTGGAACTTCCTAATTTAAGGACTTGCTTTAAATCCCAAAGCCATTTCTTCAAGCACTGCTTAAAAAATTTATATAAAGTGTAATGTGAATATCAATTTATTAATATTTATTTTATTTGCAAGAATGATTCACTGCCAGCAGCAGATAGGACCAGGAACATACACTTATAACATGGCATTAGTTACAAGGAAGACTGACAGATTAGATTGTGGCTATGCTTCTCTCACATGCTTTTGTCCTGGTTCCTGGAAATGTTGACCTCAACTTCTGACTCAGAGTGTCAAGCATTTCGGCTCTTGATTCTGACTAAGGTTTAGTGAATCTCTTGCATAACATCTGTATGTTGGCTGCTAAAGTTTAATTCTCATAGGAGAATTAGAATACTTCCTCTCATTTTCTTGATTTCTCAACTTTTTAAAAATTTGGGATTTAGAAAAGTGTGAATTTCCCAAGTAGGGCTGGGAAGAAATTCCTGCATAGAAACACTAACAATGAGGGCAGTGAGTAACAGTTTGATCATTTAGGACTCCTGGGCACTGTAAGGACTCTAAGTGAAACAGAGCAGAGGAGTAACTTCATTTGACAGCTTTTAAAATTATTATTCAGGCTGCTGTATTGAAAGTAGAGTAAGGGAGCTGGAGGCCCCTTGAACAACAACAACAATAAGTCATCACAATCAACACCACAAAACAAAACAAAACAAAAAAACCACTACAGAATGAGATAGATATCATTATCCTAAGTATATGTATGAAGACATGAATGCTGTGAATATATTTTATATACAATCAGATATATGAAAAATTTTGTTCTATGTGTAATATGAATTGTAGTGCATTCTTCTGTTATATATAACAAATTAGAATAAAATGATAATCTTAAGGAAAAACAACAACAACAACAACAACAAAACCAACCAAACAAACCAATAAAAAACCCCACTACAGTTAGATTACTGCAAAAATCTTTATGAGAGATGAAGGCATTATGGACCAGAATGGAAACCTTGAAGGTTATGAGAATTGCTTGGATTCTGGATATATGTTGAATGTAGAAAGACTTTATAACAAATTATGAGAGGACAAGGAATTGAGGATGACTCCAAAGTTCTTGTTCTGAACCTGGCAGGATGGAATTATTGTTTACTAAGATAGGGGCTGGAGTGGGGAAGTAGTTTAATTTTTTACTTTTTAAGTTTGAGATGGTTCTTACACACCCAAGCAGAAATGTTAAATACACAGTTAGATAAAGGAGTCTAGAAGTCAGGGGAGAAATCTAGACTGGAGATAAAAATACAGGTTCATCCGCATGTGGATGGCATTTACACCAGAAACCAGCACTGTCCTAGATTATAGCTGTGTTCTTCCGGCAATTCGCTTAACCTATGCCTATTTGCTCCACTGAGAAAGACCGAAAAAAATATACATTCTACCTACCTAAAATAATGAGGACAAAGGGGCCATGAATGTGAGAATGGTTTGTAAACTGTAAAGCACTGTCCAGACTGGAGAGTGGAATGCAGCAGAAATTTGATGGTACTAGGGATGAGAAAAATCAGTTTAGGGTCTAGGGAAAGTCTAATGAACTTTAAATTAGAAAAATTGAAAATAAAAGGTGCAAATAGCAATTATTATCCTTTTTGGACTATGGCCCAATCTGTGCAAAATTAATATTTAAACAAATTTACACAGCACCCAAAATTTACCAAGAGCTTCAGGTTCATGATCGCTTTCAGCTGTACAAGACTTAAAAGGCAGGAATAATTATCGCCCTTATTTTATGGTGGAGGAAACCAAGATCAGAAAGGGTAGCTAGCTGGAAAGAAATCATTAACAGGGACCTAAAGACCAACAAACACCGGAATTATCCCTTCTGAGACCAGCCTAAATACGAACAAATTATTCCCCAAGCACAACGTCGGCTGCAAAGACAGAAGACAGCAGAGCCACCCCAGCTCTTCACCGTTGCCGGTTATAGCAGTCTTCCTCGCTGCCCAGAACCCCTACGTCCCATTTCTGGATGGTATGTTCCTTTTCTTTTATCGCGAGACTAGGAGCGTCCTGCTTCTGGTTGCCAGGGGAACAGCGTTTCTAGAGGCAGAAGGGCTTTGAACCGGTCGCATCTTCACCCCCAGAGGCTGCGTTGGCGGGAAAGACTCCTCCCCTTTGGGGAGAAGTGTGATACTGAGTGTGAGAGGCGCATTTTTGAGCGAGTCGGTTCCCTAACGCCTGGCGGTTAGCTCTGACTTCCCGCCAAGAAGGTGAGGGACAGCACAGGCCACTGGCGGAACTCGGTCGCCGTTACCAGCAAATGAGTGGGCGTCGCCGACTCAGGCTGAGTGACAAAAGACTGGCTGTTAGGGACAGCAGGCAGGGCCAATGAGAAGGCGGGAGGATTGTGGGGCGGGCTCCGTCCCAGGGCGGGCCCACCACCGGAGGGGCCAGGTCGGGCGGGGTGGGGACCAGCGGGCGTGAGCCTCTAGGGCTGATGTTGCGCTGGGAGCTGGGAGTGTTTTGTCAGGATTTCTTGGGCCTGGCAATGATGTCCCCAGCGTTAGGACTCCCACGCCATCTAAGCCAATAAAGAGCTAGAACTAATCCGTGGTTTAAACTAGACCGTAAACGGCAAAGGATGCAAATAGACATTTCGTAGAAGAAAAAAAATGAAAATAAAATGAAGGCCAGTAAAATTTGACTAGAGACTCAACTTTTCTCATAATTGAAGAAATGTAAATCAAAATAACAGATGCCTTTGGACACCTCTCAGATTGGCGAAAATAAAAAGGGTTTGATGAAAACCAGACTGGCACCAAGCAAATGTGGAGAAGCTTATTCATCTTATCACAATACTCTGTTGGTGGTAGTGTAATTTGGTACTTTTTTTTTTTTTTTGAGCACAATTTGGCAGACTATCAAAATTGAAACACAAGTGGCCTTTGGTGCAGCAATTGTAATTTATCTTGTGAATGAGCATAATTAAAGACTGGTACAAGGATAGTAACTTAAAATTGAGGTCTCATTTACTTATGGTAGAATTCACCTTTTTAATGCATAGTTCTAGGAATTTTGACGCATACAGTTATGTAATTACCACCCCCCCATATCCAGATACAGAACAATTTTATCATCCCTTCCCAAATCTTCTAGATCTCTCCTAGTACTCTTTGTAGTTAATCCCTTCTCCAGTCTCATTTAACCTATTAACAGTTTTCTGTCCATACATTTTACTGATTCCAGAGGGTCTAACTGGTGGAAGCAAACACTATGTTGCCTTTTGAATCTGGCTTCTTTCACCTTAGCGTAAAACACGGTGGTTACTCTTTTATGTTCTATTAGTTACTTGTTCTCTTTTATTACTGGGTAGTATTCCCTTGTGTAGATGTACTGAAGTTTGTTTATCCACCACTAGTTGAGAAAATTGTTTTCAATTTTTTCACAATTTTTAACGAAGCTTCTATAAATATCCACATACAGGTTTTATATGAATATACTTTTTCCTTTCTTGGGTAAACATGTAAAGTATGTTTTTAAGAAACTGACAGTTTTGCAAAGTGACTGCCATTTTACATTATCACTAACAATATATGATTTCTGGTTGCTCTCTAACTTTGTCAATACTTGGTATTGTCAGTTTTTTTTTTTAAATTAATTTTCACTACTCAAGTAGGTGTGTTGTAGAATCTCATTTTGGTTCAAATTAGACACTTTCAGAGCACTGATAATGTTGCACATCTTTTCATGTGCTGATTTGCCATTTGTACATCTTGGATGATATATCTGCCCAAATCTTTCGTTTTCTTGATGACTGTTGATACTTCTTTATATGTTTTGGAACCAAGTTCTTTGTCAGATATGTATTTTGCACATATTTTCTCCCAGTCTTGGAGTTTTGTTTTCCTTTTCTTAATATCTTTTGAAGAACACAACTTTCAAATTTTGATGCATTTATCATTATTTTCTCTTTGAATCTTGTTTTTGATGTTGTATACAAGAACTCTTCACCTAACCACAATCATGCATATTTTCTAGTCATCTAGTTTTAGTTTTTTACTTTTGGTGTATGGTCCATTTTAAAGTATGTTTTAAAATTGCTTTCAGTAGCACATACAATCTATCTTAGCTGATTAAGAACTACATCTGTGTAGTGGAGTATTATGCTGTTGTTTGAAAGCCTGAAGTATATCTATAAAGGTACTATAGAAAAATCTCTAGAATACATTGCTAAGTGTAAAAAAGCAAGTTGCAGTGTACCATGCCATTTCTATGTATGTTTGTATTGAGGAGGAGGAGGTTGGTATAAAGGATGGAAAGTTTCTGTATATCTGAAAAAAAAGATAAAAATCTATTAACATTGGTCATTGGGGTAAAGGGAATTTTGACTTAAAATGTTTACATTCTTCTGCATTTACTTGTCTTTCATGGGCAAGTATTTTTTACGAAATAAGCAAATATAAAAAGTAAAAAAAATTGACCCTGAATAATTTTTAGACATAAAAATAAGGAAAATAAATTAATTTACTTTTTATAGACTTGCTGTTTATAATTACTAAGCAAAGGAGGACTCATTTTCTTTCATTTATCCAAAAATATCAAATTATAGGTACCATATGGTTTGAAATCATCTAGGGAAGTTGGATTTCTCACAACCCAGTATGAAAAAGTTTAATCTTGTTTGAAATGAATGTTTATAAGAAGTTGGCAGATATCAGTTGTGATTTGAACTTAGAATCTGGTCATCTATCTAACTGAATATCATGAAGCAAATAATATTTTGTTTTTGAAATATTTTAATGACATAAGAAAATACTCATCATGTAATGTTAAGTGAGATATATATGAGTCAATTTTCTTGAAAAAGACAGGAAATATAGAAATGTACCAATGATGATTAGCTTAGTGTCATGGGATAATATTGGGTGTTTTTTGAAAAAATTTTTGAATATTTCAAAGTAAATTTTAGAAATCTTCCTACAATAAATAAATTCTTTAATTATAAACTGAAGATATACTTAACAGAAAATCAGAAAATACAGATAAGCACAGGTTAAAAAAAGACAGAAGAACATCCACTGAGCCAGAACCCATCACTCTCATTTCTTTGAAATATGATCTTCTTATATCTCTTTCTGTATATTTCCTTAGAGAAGTTAGATTTTTTTAAAGTAAGATGATTGACATTTTATCTCTCTTCCTTCCTCCCTCAAGTTCTTTTTTCCTCCCTCCCTCCCTCCCTCCTTTCCTTTGTTTCTACCCTTAACCAGTCTTTTATTAAAATGTTACTTTTTTTTTATTGGTTGGTAAGAGCTCTTTAAATATCTTCATCTTTTGTATATCATCTGTGTTGCTTTTATTTTCTTCAGTTTCTTAATTACCTTTTAATTTCATTTAGAATTCTTCTTTATGTTCGAGACTCAAGAGCATTAAATGTAATGTAATCATATCTGTTTGTCACTTTTTTGAATTATGCTCTTGTTTTATGGTTAATACTTAATTCTATAGTTATGCTGATTATTTCTGTGTTTCCTTCCAATTCCTTGAATGTTTAATATTATTTATTTGTTTTTAAAACCAGTTTTTACTTTTGTTAAGTAATATAGTAAAAAAAAGTCAAACTGTTCAATAACAAGGGAGGGTAAACAGAGCATTCCTTAGAGGCTCCATCTTACTGTTGCTTGGCTTTATCAATTTTTTGATATTCTCTTTGATTTCCATTAGGAAAGGGTAGATTTTTTTTTTAATATCAGCCCTTCCTTTTGCACACACTTCCCCAGATACACTTTGTTAATTAAGACACATAATTTGGTTAATCAATAACTATTTGCATATGGTTTGATCGCTTTTTTGTACAGTGCTTTACTTATTTATTTATTTAATTTGTTCTATTCAGTCAGTGCTTTACTTTTCTCGTGGAATTTCTATATAGCAATTGAGACTTCTTCTCACTGAACTATAAGATCTGATTTCAGTGCTCTTTGTCCATATATTTTCCAGGTTGAAATTGAAAGATAATCTGTCAGTTATATCCCACCTTTCCTGTGAACTGTATTTAATTTAATTTATTATTTTCAGGAGAAAACATAATAAAACAGACTTCTTTCTAAAGCAAACTGAAAGGTTTATGGAGCCTGTTAGCTGATCCACATCGTTGATGGTACCCTGTGCCTCTCCCCTTATTGATGTGTATTATATCAGCTCTAAACATGCTTCCATCTCGTTGCTTCCTCTGTAAGCTGCAATAAGTCTCCCTTGACAGGCTGCTTAGGCATCTACAAGACATTTGGCCTTTTGGTGACTTATGCTTTTTGGTTGTGATGTGATGGGCTAGGGTGATCCATCATCCCACAATAATAATGTTAGTGCTTTCCTCAGTGAGCCCAAACCCGTTTGCAGAGTGTGAATAATGTTGAGATCAATGCCTTTTTTGGTTGCTGAGATGGGAAGAATTGACGTACTTGTCTCTTAAATATCAGCTTTGGCACATTGAATGGTTGGAGGTGAGGCCACATTATCCCTCTATATGCCTAAGAGGAGCTTTAGGTTGGTAATGTTGTGCTTCCTCTTATGTCCAAGTCTTCTCTGGTTTCTGCTTCTATAGTTCACAAACAGAAAGGCAAGTCATTTTATAGGATAAGAAAGGAAATTTATAGGATAAGAAAGGACATTTACTTGACTTCTTTGTTCTGTTAGGAGTGATGGTTTAATACATAATCACAAGGCATTTAAAGGTAGGTATTGAGAAAACAAAAACTGGAATTGTCATTGTTTCTTCCATTTTACTTAGCATACATGTTGTCCCAATCTCACTGGGTGAATCTAGAAGGGTCCTGATCAAGGGTATAGTTTGCAAGGATCATGTGCTTGCAGTGCCCACATTCTTCCTCTAGCTTAAGCCACCCTGCTTAGTATTTATTGTTTAAAAAAAAAACACATTGGAAATAGAACATCCTAGGTGGTGAGAGGATGACATATGAAAATTAGTTAAGGAGATTGGCAAAGTGCAGCCAGATATGAAAGTTTGTCCTTTAGTAAAGGAAATAGGTTTTATTCTCTTGTGTCTGAGGAACGAATTAGAATCATGGGTTTTAGAGGGGGAGGGCTGATCAAATGAAAGCAGTGCCTTAGAGATTGGTGCTCCTTGAAAATGTGGCATCAAGGAGAAGAGAAGTCAGAGGTAAGAGGGAAGCCCAGGCAGAAGCTGACCTGAAATAGGAAAGTCTAGAATAAGGAAGGCAAAACCAGAAGAAGATAGCAGGGGGGCCTTAGAGCACCATTAAGATGAGTGGGGCCTGGTGGCATAGGCAGTAATTCCTGCTACTCAGGAGGCTGAGGCAGGAGGAACACAAGTTGGAGGCCAACCTGGGCAACTTAGAGAGACCCTGTCTCAAAGAATAAAAGGGACTGGAGAAGCAACTCATTGTAGAGCACTTGCCTAAGCATTTGCAAGGCCAAGGATTCATTCCCCAGTAAATGCTTCTGCATTCTGTTATAGGTACTTTCGGCATCTAACATCTGAGGCAGTTTTGTACTTACAATGGCATAGATTTAATAATTCATGTACACAAGATGACTTTTGATGAAATTGGGGTACTCATAAGTGTGACTTTGATAGTAATGTAATACTTAAAACAGACCGAATAATTGGATATAAACATTAACTAATGTTTATTAAACTATATTAACATTAAACTAACACTTAAATTTCCAAGTTACTTGCTTTTTCATTTTTTGTTTGTTTTAGGATACCAATGGATATTATAAAGGGAAACCTAGATGGGATTTCAAAACCAGCCTCAAATTCAAGAACACGTCCTGGGAGCAGAAGTTCAAATGCAAGTTCTCTGGAGGTGCTCTCACCAGAACCAGGTTCCTTCAAGGTGATTTGCTTCTGAATTCCTTCTCTCAGAATCAGTAACTGATGAAACCAATCTTGTTGTTAACATTCCCCCTTATTTTTCCTCTTTAAAGGGCATTTTCAGGAAGCATTCACAGATTTCTTGGATTTTACTTGAGTGTTTAATATGAAAGTACTCTGACTCCTTTCTTCCTTCCCTTCTTTATTTTGGAGTGTGGTTTATTTGTTCACGTTGTAATTTGTTAAAAGTTTGATGACTTTTTAGAAAGTGTTGACTTTTTTTTTACTTCATAAGGAAAATTTGTATTCCAATATCTAATATGTATCCATCAACATTTACCATGAAAATGATTCAGTATTTAAAAAAATGGTTTGAAGCCATGTGGTCTGTTTGTTAGGTGTATTATCTGTTCATAACTTTCTTTTATATTCTCTCTCTTTTTCTTGTAGTACGTCTTCTTTAATTAAAATATCTCAACTGATTTTTAAAAATAATCAGTTTTATCAAGTCTGATGTGGTATAATTTATTCCTTTTAAGTTTGTAGAGGAAAAAATTTGAAATTTATGATGAAAAAAATCTCTGAAAGTTAATGAACTCATACTAACTTTTTTGTTGTTGATTTATGGATTAGACTTTGCATTATGGAACTCCGAGAGTTTTTGTCTATCATGATTTAGTGTAAGAAATAGCACTCTAGATATTTCTAGCAGACAAGATTTGACTACAAAAATCCAGTTCCTCAAAACCAACAGAAGGCCAGCAGGAAATGTAGTCCAAGGAGAGAGCTTCCCCTGGATTTTTGGTTCCCACGTCACACCACTATGCTGCAATACAGAGATCAGAAAACTGCTACTGCTGCTGTTTCTAGCACTGCCACAAGCTTCTCATAACTACAGAGCTGGTAACTAGACATTCAGATATGACCATCTTTGATATATTTTGCCAGATTCCTATCAGGATCTTAGATGGCTTCTACCCCACTTTTGCTTTCCACCTTGTGCAGGTACATCTAAGTAGATGATTCTAACATGCTTCCAGAACCCTCATGTCAAGTGACTTTGTAAAATACAGTTTCTGTCTGAGCTCTCTGTTTTTGTTTCATCTAATCTTATATTATTACTATATGGTGTGTTAACTCTTGTAGCTTTACTAAATAATTACTAAAATCTGATAGAGTGGTTTGCCTCATCTTATTATTTTTTCAGGACTGTCTTAGCAATCTTTGGTTTTTTGTTCTTCTAGATATATTTTAGATCAGCTTTTTAAGTTCTAAAAATACTGTTGGTTTTTAAAAAAAATTTTTTAGTTATGCATGGGCTCAATATCTTTATTTGCTTATTTATTTTTATGTGGTGCAAAGGATCGAACCCAGAGTCTCACACGTGCGAGGTGAGCACTCTACCACTGAGCCACAACCCTAGCCCCTACTGTTGGTTTTTTTAAAAAAATATTTATATTTTAGTTCTAGCTGGACACAATATCTTTATTTCACTTATTTATTTTTATGTGGTGCTGAGGATCAAACCCAGGGTCCCACATGTGTGAGGCAAATGCTCTACCACTGAGCCCAAACCCCAGACTCTGTTGGGGTTTTGATTTAAATTATTTTGAATATGTAGATTAATTTGGGGGAGAATTTATAGCTATATGATTTTAAATCCTCCCTTCTAACATTGTGACTCATTTTATCTCTTATTAACTTCTATTTTTTAATTAAAAATTTTACATACAGTAAAATTCACTTTTTGGTGTATGGTTCTGTGAGATCTGGCAAATAGAGTGATGTGACCATTAATATAATCAAGATATAGAACAGTTTTGTAACTCCTCAAAAAATTCCCTTATTCTATTCTTTTGTAAAGAATCACCTCCCAGCCTTAATTCCTGAAAATTATTAATCTATTTTCTGTTCCTGTAGTTTTTCTTTTTTTAGGAGGTCATATACATAGAGTCATATGGTCTTATTTTATCTCCTAATGTAAATACTGCCTTTGGGAAGCATCAACTTAGTTGCATGTATCAAAGTTAATTTTTTTTTCATTGCTGAGTATACCATGATTTGTCTCCTAGTTGAGGAACATTTGAATTGAATCCAGTTTTTAGTGATTATGAATAAATTTTTTATATATATAAAAATCAAAATATAATTTTGTAGGTAAATAAGTTTTTATTTCTCTTGAGTAAATACCTAAGAGTGAGATTTATGGATTGGATGATAAGTGTATGTTTAACAATAAGTGTTTTCTGTTTCCACCAGTGATGTACAAGAGTACTTGTTGCTCTGCATCCTTGCCAGCAGTTGGTTTAATCAGTTATTTTTTTCAAGCCTTTCTAATAGACATATAGTAGTATCTCAGTGTAGTTTAACTTATATTTCTCTAGTGATGAATAGAATTCATAATGTTTCATATGTTTATTTGAAATCCACATATCTTTTTTGAAAAATGTCTATTCATATTTTTTGTTGAATTGTTTAAACTATATTTCTTTTTTGTTGACTTTTGAGAGTTCTTAAACATGTTCTAAATAGAGTCTGTTGTCAGATATGTGACAGTATTTTGTCCCAGTCAATGGTTTGACTTCTCATTCTTTCAACTGTGTCTTTTAGAGCATAAACATTTTACATTTTAAGAACATTTTACCATGTTTTTTTCTTTTGAGATTGTGATTTTGGCGTTGTATCACAAAACTCTAACTCAAAGTTCTAAAGATTTCTCTCCTGTTTTTCTCTGACAGTTTATAGTTTGTTTGCATTTAGACCTATGATTCATTTTTAATTAATTTTTATGTTAAGTCATGAAGTATAGGTCAAGGTTACTTTTTTACAAGGGTATATATTTGTTAAATATTAATATAGCAGCTTCAAATAATTTTTAACCTTCTTGTGTCTTTATGTTTTAAGTTGGATTTTGTTTATTTTATTTAATTGGAAAATCTCTTTTAAACTAGCGGGTAAAATGCACATTTTTTTTTTTCATTTTATCTAATCTGTAAAATATATGTTTAAATAACATTTGAATTTATCTAGTCTCTTGGTTTTTTCTTGCATTTTATTAATATTAACTGATTATTTATATTTTTCTCTGTTTCAGTTTACTGATTTGAAAATTATATTTACGTTCTTAGAATTTGATGAACAAATTCTAAAGTTTACCAATATTTCTTTTTCCTTCTAAAAAATGCAAAGACTTTAGATATTATACTGTCACTTTTTCTAATTTACATGTAATTATTATTCTCTATGGATATTATTTTCATCATTATTGTTTATGCTTTAGGTTTCAATTTACTTATATGTTTACTGTTTTTTTTTTTGTTTATCCTGGCTTTTTGGAAAACTAAATCTTCTTTATTGTATCTTTAATCTTCATTTTGTAATATCTGTATCTATTGATCAGTTTATCTACATCTTTTAGTAATCTTTCTTTGAGAACCCATGAGTGGCAAATACTAAATCTGCTTTTGAAAATGTGTTCATTTTCTAGTTTGACTATTTTTTTTTAACAAAGCACTTTGAAGCTATCACACATTTGGCTTGTGGTTCTCTTGTGGTCAATGAAAAGGCTTTTGTGACCTAATATATTTATTCTGCTGTAGGTTGTCTGGCTTCGTTTTATTTGGTTGCTTTAATTTTTTCTCTTCGTGTTTGGTGTCCATTGATACTTACCTAGGATGGGTTTACATAATTTCTCCTTCCGGAGACTAGAACTTCTTAAAGGATTTGTTGTTTTCCATTTATTTTGGAAAATTTTAAGCCATATTTCAAATGTTAAATTACTTTTATGTTTTCAAATATTCACATTTCTAACTTTCCCTATATAGTTTTTCTGTTTTCTCATTCTAGAAGTAATATTAAATATCTTACCTTTATATCTTTTATATCCCTTTTCTTTTTGATAGTTTCTAATCATTTATCTTTCTGTGCTTTATTGTGAGTAATTTGTAACATATACTTTTTGGGTTTGGAATTATTTCTTAATATATCAAGTCTGTTTTTCAGTCTACCCATTGAATTTAAAAATCTAATAAAGTGTTTTTTTTTTTTCTGGAAGCTCTTTATAGTTTTTTTTTTTTTTAATTTTTCTGTTCTTGACAGTGTCTTGGCTTTTTCTCAAGACTTTTGATTCTTCTTTTTGCCTTTATAATCCTTTCTGAATTGGGTATTTATAATTTAGTTTTATTCTCTACATCTGTATTCTCCTATGTTTAAGTGGGGTACTAGCACCTATAGCATAGGGTCATTGTGAGTAGTGAATGGCACAGTGTATATAAAGTACTTAGCACTGGACATGGTTGATTGCAATTCGTCAATAAATGTTGGTAGTGATTATTTTATACTGACAACTCAGTTCTGCTAGGTTTATGTTTCATGTCAGGCAAAGATGCTTGCCCAGGGAACTGCATTCCTAGCACTTTAATCCTCAGTAGCACCCATTTTCTGTCCTGGAGATTTGCATTGCGGTAATGGAGAGTTGAGCTTGTGGATAGGGACAACAAAAACCTTCCAATGGCTGAGGCCGGAAGGGCTAGAGCAGACAGTCTTTCATTGGGAAAGGAAAGGTATTTCCTTGAGAAGTGGCTGACCCTCTCTACCTGAGACCTCAACTCTCTTGGGCTCTGTTCACTTCTGTTGCTTCAAAGTCCTGTGATCTCTGTTTTCTCCTGACCCCCAGTCATGATGCCTTTTCTTGTTTTCTCTCAGGAAAATGCAACTGTGCCAAACTGGTGTTTGCAAAGTGAACTTTGCTAAAATACAAAGGGAAACCAAGATGAAATGGAAAAAAATATGAATGGTATAAAACTAAATAATCAAAGCACAGTATTCTGATGATAAGATTCTCATTAGAAGCACATCTCGATTCAGATTAGCCACTTTTCAGCCGTTTGATAGTGGAAAATGGACAGCACAGCTCTAGATCTCTGACTGCTCACCCACATATGAGTTCAAAGGGGTTCATCGTGTATCATCTCAAGAGCCTGGCTGGTAGCAGTTCACTTTAGGACTGATTTTGACCTTTCTCCATTATTGATAGAGATTGTTAGAGAATGGTAGATATTTGGTATAGATGTTATTAAATTTGTGTAGTTAAATTACATTTAAGTAAACTTCGTTATATTTCTAGATACTTTAATGCCAGTGTATATATTTAAATATGTCTCTACATATGCTTCCATTAGTGTTAAATATTTGAAAATATCATATTTTAAGAAAACAAATTATGTTATTTCAATGTCCTTTAGTCCAGCAGGAGAAAATACATTATTTTTGGAAATTTTTTAAAAATTATTTTTAGGTTGATACTGTAAGCACATTGAATTCTGGTAAGGAGGACCACTCAGAAAGCAGTAATACAGAGGAAGGAAGATATAATAATGATGATAAAGGGGCAAACTACTCTGAGAAAATAAAACTGGCTAAACAGGGGCCAGTTGAAGATCTGGACTTGATTCAACATCAGATGATCCCTGAATGTTCAGGTAGGATAATCACAAGTTGATTGGATAATGATAACTACAGATATTTTATTTAAAATATTAAAATTATATGTGTTTTTATCAACTAAGTAGAAACAATAAACTAAAAAATAAGGAGGCATAATTACATTTTTGTAAGAGAATGATCACCAATTTATACTTACAAGAACATTAAGAGCCCTTAAATATATTTAGAAATGTAATAAAATATGACATTTAATAAAATTGTTTTCATGTTCAGTTTACAATAATCAAGTAGGGATTATTTTACATATTATGGCATGATTTATGGATCATTTTGATTACTAAAATTGCACAATAAAATATATCCTATAATTTGTAAATGCCCTTTTTAGGGCCAATCCCACTCAAAATTGATAACATTTTGATTTTAAATGTACCTTTTTTCCATGCAATTGAATTAATTCTGGTCAGATAGAATTAGAAGAGCAGTTCTGAAATGTGATCTGCAGAGCCCTGGGAAGACCCTTGTGGGGGCTCTGCAGAATGAACACAACTTTCATAATTGCACTGAGATGCTGTTTTCCTCTTTGTCCACTGTGTCAGTATTGGTACTGATAGTATAAAAACAATGGTGGGAAATATTCTGGTGCCTTGGCATGAATTGAGACAGTGGCACCAAATTGTATTAGAAATCACTGTGTTTTTACAACCAGTTACTGGCAAGAAAAATAAATAACCAGTGTCACTCAGGATGTCCTTAATGAAGTAGTAGAAAATATTAATATTATTAGATCTTAAGCCAGTATACATCATCTTAATATCCTGTGTGGCAAGGAAGTAGACATAAAAGAATTTTGTGTATTCTAAGGTGGGAAGGTTGTGTTGAAGAAAAGTACTTGTGTGATAACTTGAACTGGGAGCTAAACTGCCCAATTTTTTGTGGAACACCATTTTTATTTAAAATAACAACTGACAGGCAAACTGGTATCATTCAGACTTTTGTATTTGGCAGACTTATTTTTTCTTTTAAAGATAAAGCAAGTCTTATACTTCAAGGAAAACTACTATAGTATTTGCTACTAATGATAAAATTTGAACATTCTGCTACTAATGGTAAAATTTGAGCATTCACATGAAAATTAGAATTTTGGAAAACTTGTGAATGTTATTCAATAGCTTATCAATACTTAGACTTTTTTGATAAAAATAGGTGGTAATATTAACAAATGTGACTTTTGAATATTGTATAATGAAATACGTTTATATTTTGAATGTGTGCATAATTCTGTTAGCCACTACTTTCCAAATGGCAAATGCAGGATTAAAGATTCATTCAACATGAAAGACAGAGCCAAAGATTTTAGTGGAACAAACTCAGAAAGCTCACTGATATGGTTACAGGTTTCACACTACAATTAACCTTTAAGAAGCTACCCCTGACAAATTTTGGTACAGTACTAAAGAAAAATAACTAGTTATTTGATAGACTACTAAATCTCTCTTTTCCCAACTACATATCTATGTGAGGCCAAATTTTCCTCATGTACTTCAATCAAAACATAAAATTACAATAGGTTGTAGAAGTACATATGAGAATCTAGATGTTTTCTATTAATCCAGATATTAAAAGTTGAAAATAATGCTAGTCTGCTCACTAATATTTTGGAAGACTAATAATTATAACATGTTAGTTATGTTAACATGTAATTAGTAATACTTTGTTTACTATTATTTAAAATGAATGAATAAATGTATTTTACAATAATTTTCAGTTCTGCTTTCTAAGATGGTAATTATAAAAAGATATAACCTACATACATGAAGACTACTTTGGGCTCTCAATAATTTTGAGGTGGTGAAGAGGACTATGACAAAAAAGTTTGAGAGCTGCTAATTTAGAATATGGTTGGGATGAGATGAGTTCTTAAAGTTAGGCAGGTGACTCAGGATTACAGTTATCAGGAAATAAGATATTATATTTGAGATTAGCTATTGGCCCAGTCTACACGGTATTTTAAAATATATTTTTAGTACTGTGTGAATTACTTAAAAATGCCTATTATATAGACTACTTAGATGGAGCTTGAGAATGCTAGGATTAGTAGTTGGGAATTAGAACTAAAGGGTATTACATTTGAATTATATAAGCAATAAGATTTGAGGATACTTCTTATTGATAAGATTAATATTCTTTTTGAATAAACTTTCTTCTTCTAAAAATATCTCCCTCTTTTTTTTCCTTAAAGAGGAAGCAATGTATGTTATGGGGACACATCACTGGTCTCTTTGGATTTTCAAAAATTGCTAAATTTGGCCTCATTTAGCATAATATGCCATTTAAAGTGATTTGTCCTGAGATGACTAAGACTTAATACTTGAACATTTATTCTCATTGCCAGAGAACCAAATTTCATCAGATTTCATAGAGGGTGTGTTATTGCTTGGTGGCTAAGAGCTGGAGTCAGACAGATGTGAGTGGAACTGACTCTATATTTACTAGTTACATTACATGTATGAACTCAGGTACAGATTAATGTCAGTTTACTAATTTTTAAAATGAAGACAATGACTATGCCACTTTACAGAGTTAAGGTGAGTGTTAAATGAGTAATGCATGTAAATAAAGCTCTTAATGTGCCACAGGTCACTCTGTAAGCTGCCCTCATTATCATTAATTCTAAATTAAAATTTGAATGATGGAAGATCATTTTTTATTTTGGTACCAGGGATGGAACCCAGGGGTGCTTAACTGGGAGAACAACAACCCCAGTTCTTTTTATTTTTTATTTTGAGACAGGATCATGCTAAGTTGCTTAGGGCCTCGGTAAGTTGCTGAGATTAGCCTCAAACTTGCAATCCTTCTGCTTTAGCCTCCCGAACCACTGGGATTACAGGTGTGTGCCACCATCCCTGGTAGTCAAAGCATTTTTAAGTGCTTTAAGAAATTAGAAACATGGAGGGGCATGGAGAAAAGTGTCTGCCTACATTAGGTACTTATTGGAGCTTGTTTCTTCTGTATGTTGAACCACTTTGTGTTGCTTATGATATACTACTTTTTTTTTAAAAGAGGGGGAGGGAGAGAGGAGAATTTTTAAATATTTATTTATTTTTTTTTAGTTTTCAGCGGACACAACATCTTTATTTGCATGTGGTGCTGAGGATCGGACTCAGTGCCGCGCGCATGCCAGGCAAGCCCGCTACCGCTTGAGCCACATCCCTAGCCCTGATATACTACTTTTTACTGTAGCTCTCTATACATGCCTTCTGTTTCTCGAGAAAGAGTTTGGAGTCTTCAGCAATTTTCGGATAGGATATATGTCTTATTCCTTATTTACTATTTGTTAATCATGGATAGGGAATGTATAGAAGAAAGAAGGAGAAAATTTGGGATTTAAAATAATAAGGGAACAACTTATGAAAAGGCCTGGTTATCTCAACTGTAAAATAGAGACAAATGTCTATTTTGCAGAGTTATTAGATAATTATATGAAAAAAATATATGAAAGTACCTTGTAAATCAAGTTGGTTACATGACGTCAATACAATAGTTACTATTGTCACTATACATAGTTGTTAAGTCAAAGAATAAAGACTAAAAACAATAAAACTTTATGGATTTATTAAACTTCAAACCTGTTTCTACTTTCAACACAATATAGATGAAACCAAATTAAAAGAAGTAGACTCTCAACTTCAAGATGCTATTTATAAAATGAACAGACTTGATAAAATATTGGCAAAAAAACAATACAGAGAAAAAGAAATTAAGAAGCAAGGTCTAGAAATGAGAATAAAGTTGTGGGAAGAACTTAAGGTAAGAATTGTACAACTATGTGCCAATAGTAAGAAACAATTTCCTCTAAGAGAATAAGAAAAGCATGGACTGTGATAGTGTTAATGTGGTCTGCCTTTGTTATTTTGTGGAGGTGGTGACATAGCATGAATATGTGTGTATGTGCTGGGTACAGGGGTGAAATGTTTCTGGAACGAGACTTTGGGCACTGTGCTAGCATGCTCATTGACCTGTCTTACTAGTGTCAGATTAGAGCTCCTCAATCTCTGGAATAGGGAAGTGTATGATGTCTGCTTTCATCAAGAATGTATATTTGCTTTTTCTTCAGTGAGCTTACATTTTGGAGATAAACAGGAAAATACACAAAAATTGAATTCCCTAGTTAGTTTATTACTTGAGTAACATTTATGACAATCAAGTTGGGAGTTTACTGTTTCATGTGTTGGTCAAATCTCTTCAGGAAACTGTAAGGTACTTGAGGAATGAGCCATGCTCAAATCGTTTTTGTTTCAACAAATTTCTGGTGCTTCATTAACATTGGCTCTCTTGGACTTCTTATTTTCTGTAGTATTAAGGGGTTGAGGTTGACCAGATGTTGTTACTGATTTGGTATAGAGCCATTGACTCTTATTTGTATTTTGCCCCTGAAAGGAGAGCACCTGTGAGATAGGAACCTTGTGATAATAAATTGGTTGTTTTTGATAAAATAATTCATAATCATCTAATGACTTCGGAGGAAATTTCCTAGGCCTAGGCAGTATTATGAATTAAGAAGGAAATAATTGTGAATACATTTTTTACGGAGATCTCAGGAAGGCCATTGAGATGAAAGAAAGCAACCCCAAATGCAGTGTTTTAAACTAGAAAAATGATTTCCATAAATCTTAGCAGAAAAAGTTAGTTTATCACTTTTTCTTATGGAAACTCAAATTGTTTTTATTTCCTTTGAAATAAGAATTATAAATAGAAACAGTAATATACTTGAAATGTCTGAAATTTCAATTTGATTATACCTTTAGGTTACTCTTTAGTTATAAAAATATCTAACAGAAACTTAAGATTTTTTAAGCAAAGTGATTATCATATATTGATTTTAGACATATATTTCAACTCTATCTGGAAATATCTATTGACACAATTTTGTGGAAACAGGAAATATTAACAAATTTCCTATTTAAAGGAATATGAATGGCCTGAGGATTCTTGTTTGTATGTATATGATAGGAAACTATGCTATAATTAAAAAATCAGTGAGTATAGCTATCTTCTTGTTTAAATTTTAATTTTTATTTCATAGTCTGCAAAAAATAGTGAAGCTTTGCAAAGTAATGAGGAGATGGAAAATACAAAGAAATTTTTATCTTTGACTGCTGCATCTGAAGAAACTATTGGTGAGTAGATGTCATTCATCCTTGTTTTTATCTGAGTCAGACAAGATTTGGATTAAAGTTAAATTCCTGATCCAAAATTTCCCCTTTTCTTCGTGAATTTGACTCTTCTTTAGAGGAAATATGATATGAAATTACTCTGAGCTTAGGTATGTTTCATTGTGTTTAAGTATTTGTATCTTAATAGAGCATGGACAAATTGAGAAACAGGCCCACTATGTCTTTGCCCTTACTTTCTGTCCCTGTTTGATTCTTCTAGAGGATATTTTATTCTGATAGTCCTCTATCTCACCATGTAAAACACTCAGGCCTATGCAACCCCCTTCATAAAAATCTACTTCTGATATATCCTATTATCTTACACTCCTAATTTTGCAGACTAACCAATTAGTTCTGCACATGTATTTCTACTTATCCCTTTGTGTGTATGTGTAAAATTGTGAATGTTCTTTTCAAATGTAAATATGATGTAGTCATATATTCTTAAACCCACTTACTTAATAGTGAAACTTTTAGAGAGTGGAAGCAGTTGATATGTTTTGCTTGGCTACTTTTGGAATCCTTTAGTCAATATCCCATAGGTAGTCTTTGTGGTGGAAGAGCTCTAAGCAGTGTCCTGAGTTCTCTCAGAATACTGGGATCTTTTTATCTTATATAAAGTGAATGTCTAACATTGTAGAACTCCAAAAATCTGATTTAGACTACTGAAGCACTTTTAGTGGAACAATAGTCGATCTTTGTTGTGAATAATATTCCTTCAGGTTTATTCCTTTGTGGACTAGTATTAAGAGCTCAGAAGCTGCTAGGGCTTGAGAGATTTGAGTTTATAGTGCACCAAAATGTTTCTCCTTAAGAAGATGGGTGTTTCATCTGGGTTGCCCCTTCTGTAATGAAGGACTTTAAAAAAAAATCAATCTTTCAAAATTTCAACTTCTTAGATCCATAGCTGGAGTGACCTTATTGAAATTTACCTTGCCATTTGTATATCCTAATTGAAACAACAAAAAATTAGCTTCTCTATATTAAAATCCTAGATAGTTTACTTTCTGCTACTTCTACCTTATTACAGAAGTAACATCGGTAATTAATTGTGTTGGAAAACATGGGTAAACAGAATGAAAAAAATTGCTATCTCCTAAATTGTCAACATGCAGAAATAATCACTATTAATAATTTGGTTTATTATTTTTGATAATTTGGTTTATTATTTTTCTTTTGAGACATGTTTAGTGTAAACATCTGTATCTACCTACCTATCTATCTAAGGATAAAAATGGGATAAAATTGGATTTATGGTGTTTTTTAAGCTTTTTCTCCACTGGTTTGTATCTCATGAACCCCTTTAACTGTTACTAAGAATCTTTGTGGTAGCTTGTTCCCAAAATGGCTGCCCTCAGTGCCTTCCCTCTATGTACTTTCATTCTATTCCTCATTAAGAGACATAATTTCTCCTATTTCTCCCGCCCTTTTCAGTCTGGGCTAGCCTGGAATAACTTTGACTGATATAGCCAAGGCAATACTATGCCATTTCTAGGCCTTGCCTTTAAGAAGACTGGCAATTTCTGTTTCTTTTCCTGGCTTATGCAGATGAAAGCCAAACCACCCTGAATCTGCTGTGCTGTGAGAAAGCCCAGACAGGTCATGAGAAAGGTTAGGCAGAGAGAAAATAATTCTGGCCAGTTCTAGGATATAATGTCCCCCTCAAATTCATGACTACCTGGAATTGCAGAATGTAATTTTATTTGGTAATAGGGTCTTTACAGATATACTTAGTTAAGATGAGGCATAATAGAGTAGGATGGACCTAAATCCAATGACTGATGTCCCTTATTTTCATAAAATAAGCATAGGAGAGGACATAAAGATATAGAGACACCAAGATACAGGGAAGAAGACCTGTAAAGATAGAGGCAGAGATGGGAGTTATGTAGCTACAAGCCAAGGACTACCAAGGATAGCTGGGAGCCACATAAACTAGGAAAATGCAAAGAAGGAAATTCTCTGGCAACACTGTGATTTTAGATATCTAGAGAATAAATTTATATTGTTTTCAGCCACCTAGCCCTTGGTAATTTGTTACAGCATCCTTAATAAACTGACTTACCAGCTGTTCTAATTATCTCAGTGCCGGCACTAAAGTTGTGAATTAAGAAGGAACTGTAAGCTGGGCATGGTAGCTCTTGCCTATAATCCCAGTGGCTCCAGAGGCTGAGGCAGAGGATCACAAGTTCAAAACCAGCTTCAGCAACTTAGTGAGGCACTAAGCAACTTAGGGAGACTTTGTCTCAAAATAAAACATAAAAAGGGCTAGGGATGTTGTTCAGTGGTTAAATGTCCCTGGGTTCAGTCCTTCACACACACACACACACACACACACACACACACACACACACACAAACACACACACACACACAAAAGTAACTGTGGACATTTCAGACTGAGAAAACACCACAGAAAATTACCAAGGCAAGACATTGAGCTGCACCAGATTTCTACAACCAAATGCAGGACCTAGCCAGTCAAGGCCCCTTTCCTAAGAGACAAACTGCTATAGGCATCAAATTCCTAACGCACAGAAGCATGAGCATGGTGCCATGGTGATTGTTTTATGCTATCAAGTTTTATTTTTTATTTTGAAATAGGTATAGTTCTTGTATACCCTTGCCTAAGCTTCGTCTAATGTTAATGTTTTGCATTACCATAGTACTATAATCAAAACTAAGAAATCAACATTGCTACAGTACTGTTAATTAAACAGTAAACTTCTAAAAATGCACCAGCTTTCCCACTGATATCCTTCCCATTTTTTAGCATCTAACCCAGTACCCCATATTGTATTTAGGTATTACGTCTCCTTGTCTCCTCTAATCTGTGATGGTACCTCAGTCTTTCCTCGTCTTTTGTGACCCCTTTCGAGAGTAGTTATTTTCATAAATATCCTTAAATTTTGGTTTGTGTGATGTTTTCTCATGATTAGATGAAAATTATTCATTTTTAGTAGGTGAATCTCAGAAATTATGTGTCCTCCCTCAGTCACACTTGGGATTCATAATGATGATGTATTATTGATTGTGTTAACTCTAATCACTTAGTTAAGTGCCTGCTGGATTTTTCCACTGTAAGGTTACTATTTTTCGTTTTGCACTTAATAAATATCCTGGGGGAGCTACTTTAAAGCTATGCAAATATTCAGTTTCTCTGTAGATTTTTGCCTACAAATTTTAGCATTAATCAGTACATCTTACTTGAAGTAATTATTACCATATGCTGTGAAATTTTGGGTGATTTTTAATGCATAATAGAAAACTGGAACAATTTATATCAGCAGTATTTTAAATGGCCATGTGTCAATTTAACGTGTGTATGTGCCATCATTTGTTTAAACCCTGATGTCAAACATTTAGTTTTTTTTTTTTAATTACACAACAGCTGCAGTGATCTTCAACATGCTGAAGATTTGGGCCTACTTTTTCTTCTGTTAGGTGCAGAGTCTCTCTCTCTCTATATAAGAGAAATTACTTAGTCAAAGGGTGTTGGACTTTAAAAAAATTTTCTAACCATATTAACTATTGAAACCAATTCAGACTTCTACCAATATTTGTATCTGAATATTGTTTTCCTAAACCCACAACAATGGATTTTATGATTATTTTAAGCTTTATTTACTTAAAGTGGAATTTTAAAAATTTGTCTCTCTCTGATTATCAGAGGTTAAATATTTATTTTTTGTTTCACCATGCTGTGAATTGCTTGTTTATATCTTAGTATCTCTTTTTTTCTTTCTTAGATATTTGTTCTTTTTAAAATTTTTCAATTTTAAATTTATTTATGTATTCTAACTTGTTATATGTAATAGCAGAATGCATTTCAATTTATAGTACACTTATAAAGCACAATTTTTCATGTCTCTGGTTGTTCATAAAGTAGAGTCACACCATTCGTGTCTTCATACATGTGCTTAGGGTAACGATGTCCATGGCATTCCACCATCTTTCCTACCCACATTATCCTTCCCTTCTCCTCCTTCCCCTTTGCCCTATCTAAAGTTTCTCCATTCCTCCCATACTTCACCCGCCTGCCCCATCCCCATATGGATCAGCATCTACATACCAGAGAAAACCTTTGGCCTTTGGTTTTTTGGGATTGGGTTGCTTCCCTTAGCATAATATTCTCCAACTCCATCCATTTACCTACAAATGCCATGATTTTATACTCTTTTAATGCTGAATAATATTCCATTGTGTATATATACCACAATTTCTTTATCCATTCATCTACTGAAGGGCATCTGGGTTGGTTCCACAATTTAGCTATTGTGAATGGTGCTGCTACAAACATCGGTGTGGCTGTGTCCCTGTAGTATGCTGTTTTTAAGTCCTTTGGTTATAAACCAAGGAGTGGGATAGCTGGGTCGAATGGTGGTTCCATTCCAGGTTTTCCAAGGAATCTCCATACTGCTTTCCAGATTGGTTGCACTGATTTGCAGTCTCACCAGCAATGTATGAGTGTGTCTTTTTCCCCACATCTTCTCCAACACTTATTTTTGTTTGTATTCTTAATAGCTGCCATTCTGATTGGAGTGAGATGAAATCTTAAGAGTAGTTTTGATTTGCATTTCTCTAATTGCTAGAGATATTGAATATTTTTTCATATATTTGTTGATTGATTGTATGTCATCTTCTGAGAAGCATCTGTTCAGTTCCTTGGCCCAGTTTCTAGTTGGGTTATTTGTGTTTTTTTTTTTGTGTGTGTGTGTGTGTTACATTTTTTTGAGTTCTTTGTATATCCTAGAGATTAGTGCTCTCTCTGATGTGAGTGTGGTAAAAATTTGCTCCCATTCTGTAGACTCTCTATTCACCTCACTGATTGTTTCTTTTGCTGAGAAGAAGCTTTTCAGTTTGAATCCATCCCATTTACTTATTCTTGATTTTATTTCTTATGTTTTAAGGAGTCTTGTTAAGGAAGTTGGGGCCTACATGATGAAGATTTGGGCCTACTTTTTC